AGTAGTAGTAGTAGCGGTATTAGTAGTAGCAGCAGCAGAGGCCCGCAGCAGTAGTAGTAGTAGTGATAGTAGTGGCGGTAGTGATAGAAGTGGCATTAGTAGTAGTGGTATTAGTAGTAGAAGTAGTAGTAGTAGTGGCGGTAGTGATAGTAGTGGTAGTAGTAGTAGAAATAGTAGTGGTAGTAGTAGAAGAAGTACTAGTAGTAGTAGTAGTTGTAGTAGTAGTAAAAGCAGCTGTAAGCTTAGTAATAGTAGCGGTATTAGTAGTAGCAGCAGCAGAGGCCGCAGCAGTAGTAGTAGTAATTATTTCATTTTAGTAGTGGTAGTATTGTTGTTGATGGTAGTAGCAGTAGTAGTAGTGATAGTAGTGGCGGTAGTGATAGTAGTGGTAGAAGTAGTAGAGGTAGTAGTTGTATTAGTAGTAGAAGTAGTAGTAGTAGTGGCGGTAGTTATAGTAGTAGTAGTAGTAGTGGTGGTAGTGGTGGTAGTGATAGTAGTGTCGGTAGTGATAGTAGTGGTAGTATTATAAGAAGCAGTAGAATTGGAATTCCGGCAGGGTTGTTTCTGCCTTCTAAGTTGGATGTTGTCGATCCTACAGGTAATATGAGCCCCAAATGTTGATACGCCGTGTTGGTTTGGGTGTGTGTTCTGTTCGTCTACCCGGGGTACACACTCTGTGTGACCAGTCCTGTGTTACCAGTTCACACGCTGGGCAGGGTGGGGTCAAGCAAACGGTACCCAGCGGACAAGTTTACCTGGCCCACTTGATTGCTTCATATCAAGGGATGCTCTGTTTGAACATCGGATCATGGCTTACGCTTCATATCAAGGGATGCTCTGTTTGAACATCGGATCAAGGCGAACGCTGTGGCATACCTTTTATAAATGGGTAATTGACACTCGGCCTTTCAGTAGCCAAACAGAGGCACGCCCTTGTTATTTTATATACGTTTTCATTATTGTTTGCCATAGTTATGTATCTAAGTCAGAAGTAAAATAGGTGCAATAAATACAGATATAACGTCACTCTATTGTTTCAACTGAAGATTATTTGTAACGGATTGACAGCCTACTGACCTACTTTGTGCAATGCAAATTTTTAGCTCGTGCATAAATTCTAGGCACGTGCATTACGAATGTACTTACTAGAACGATCAAATCTCACAAAACGCACGTGCAGTACGAATATTGTACTTTATCAAGATCACGTGGACCAATCAGATCTCATCATTCCGACATGGGGTATGATAAACATGGAGGATGTTCAAATGCATCACGGATATAGAAGCATAAAATGCAAATTATTATGTATTACGAATGGTCTGCATGGAATTGCCGTTCATCATATTTGTGTTGCATTTATTTTCATTTACCTATAGTTTATTTTAACTATCAGGCTGTATTTAAAATCCAATTACACAGTATTTTGTTACTTTGATTCTGTATTTTAAATCATATTTCGCACGTGCAAAGGGTCATTCGTTACAAGAAAATATATTCGAGAGCTTCGCTAATAATAATAATGATAATAATAATCACAACAACAATAACAATAATAATAATCTATTTATTTACTCTAAGCACCTTAGACATTATTACCCCGGTAAATGGACCCGTGTGCACTCGATATTCATTTTCAGCTCCCTGGGGAGTATACAACCAAAGCGAATGTCCAAATACTTGTGTGTTATCAAAAAAAAAAGACGCAACGTTAATAAAAACATTGTAATTGGACTGATGTTGTGCATTGCCTAACGCGCCACTTAAGTCAAGGGACGTAACTCCAAACCTGACGGTATTCCGAATTCTACCACAGATTGACCCGTACTTGTTTTTTTTGTTAGTTTTTTATATCGTATAAAGGTTTAAAGCGGGGCCAACTAACCAAAAAAAGTAGTCTGTCCCGGATATAATTTTTCGCAGTTTGTTTATACACAGACTGTTTATTTGGTCTCAATCTCTTAGTAAACAATGTTTAGATTGGCTGGTGAGAACCATGTCCCTCGTTGAAGCCATGCCTTCCAGTAGTATAACCACGGAGGCACCGTGCTGTTTGTTTGATGGTTAGAATGAAATGCTGCGTAATCTTACTGGAAAACACTGAAATGTGGAACAAATATTTTCTGATTTCAGAGGCATGCGTTAGCGAGTGATTTCGTCCTCTTTCAGCACTGACAATAAGTATCATTGGTATTTTGTTAGGGTTTTGTTGATATTTATCAGTTGACTTTGAGTAATCGTACGTATTTGTGAATGAGTGAATACTGCTTCGTGCCGCAATGAGCAATGTTGTAGCTTCAGCATAACACTTATACATCGGTTTATCAAAGTGAGTGAGTGAATTTGTTGAAGGCCGCAGTGAGCGATATTCAAACTATATGAGGCTGCCTGGAAGTGATCGAGTCTGGACTAGACAAACCAGGAACTAGTACCTCATACTTGTCGAAAGACCTACTGCGTTTACTACTTCTACTTCTACTACTACTGCTACAACTACTACTATACTGCTCGCGCTACTACTGCTACTACTATACTGATCGCGCTACTACTACTACTACCCAGACTCCATAGTTTACAGACTACTGTGAAATGGCTGAATTATTGCGTGGCATCGTACCCAGACGCCCTAAAAATCAATCACTGGATTGTCTGGTACAGACACGAATATCTTGAAAGGCCATCGCCATATCGCATAAAATGGCATGTAAAATGTGCGACCCGTGAAGATTGGGGTTATAATAGGTCTTCAGCAACCCTTGTGTGTCGTAAGAGGCGACTTTACAAGTCGTAAGAGGCGACTTTACTAGTCGTAAGAGGCGACTTTGCTAGTCGTAAGAGGCGACTTTACTAGTCGTAAGGGGGCGGTCGGGTAGCCTAGTGGTTAAAGCGTTCGCTCGTCACGCCGAAGACCCGGGTTCGATTCCCGACATGGGTACAATGTGTGAAGCCCATTTCTGGTGTCCCCCGCCGTGATATTGCTGGAATATTGCTAAAAGCGGCGTAAAACCATACTCACTCACTCACTACTAGTCGTAAGAGGCGACTTTGCTTGTCGTAAGAGGCGACTTTGCTAGTCGTAAGAGGCGACTTTGCTAGTCTTAAGAGGCGACTTTGCTTGTCGTAAGAGGCGACTTTGCTTGTCGTAAGAGGCGACTTTGCTAGTCGTAAGAGGCGACTTTGCTTGTCGTAAGAGGCGACTTTGCTTGTCGTAAGAGGCGACTTTGTAAGTCGTAAGAGGCGACTTTGCTAGTCGTAAGAGGCGACTTTACTAGTCGTAAGAGGCGACTTTACTAGTCGCAAGAGGCGACTAACCGGATCGTGTGGTCAGGCTCGCTGATTTGGTTCATGCTTGTCATCGGATCACAAATGCGTAGTCGCCTCTTACTGGAATCGAACCCGAGTCTACGGCGTGACGATTAAGCGCTTGTAACATCAGGTTACCCAACTGCCCATCCTGCACTCTCTGTGGCCCCGTGCCAACTTGTGTCCAAAATGCATCTCTACGCATATGTTTAGTGACGTACGTTTTGTTTGTTCACGAGTACAAATGGCGGTTATATAACAACAGACTTAGCAACACGCATGAAAACAAGTAATACACTTTAATGTCGTCACGCCCAGTTTCACCTCATACGTCGCGAGGTGACAACTAGCTATAAATCAACGCACACGACTTGCCGGTCTTACGGTCGCGCATTATAGTAGTAGTAGTAAGAGGTAGTAGTAGTAGTAGTGGTGGTAGTAGTAGTAGTAGTAGTAGTAGTAGTAGTAGTGGTGGTGGTGGTAGTAGTAGTAGTAGTAGTGGTGGTGGTAGTAGTAGTAGTAGTGGTGGTAGTAGTAGTAGTAGTAGTGGTGGTGGTAGCAGTAGTGGTAGCAGCAGCAGTAGTAGTAGTAGTAGCAGCAGAGGCAGCAGCAGTAATAGTAGTAGTAGTAGTAGTAGTAGAAGTATTATTAGTAAAAGCAATTGTAATCATAGTAGTAGCAATAGTAGTAGTAGTAGTAGTTGTAGAAGTATAATTAGTAAAAGCAATTGTAATCATAGTAGTAGTAATAGAAAAAGTTGTAGTAGTAGTAGTAGTAATTATGTCATTGTAGTAGTAGTAGTAGTAGAAGTAATCGTAGTGGTAGCAGTAGTAGTAGAAGTAGTAGTATAAATAGTTATAATAGTAGTAGTAGTAGTTGGACGAGAAGCAGTAGTAGCAGGATTAGGATTAGTAGTAAAACAGATGTAAAAATAATAATAATGGTGGTAGTAGTAGTAGTAGTAGTAATTATTTCTTTTGGTAGTAGTAAAAGTAGTGATAGTAATAGTAGTGATAGTGGTAGTGGCAATAGTAGCAGAAGTAGTTTTTCAATATCACTGATTCCTGATAATTGAGACTGCGTTGACATGTTGTTTTTGGATCAATGCACCTGTACTAATTACTTATGACAGGGGGTCATGACGGGTGAGATCGGGGGTGATGTTTACCAACACTGTAATATTGAAGCAATCTGGGAAGTCCTGCACATAATGGAATCTGGGCCACACACATCAGTGTCCCACCCCCCAGGGACGTGCCGTGTTGTCGGGGTATGATGACAGACAGTCAAGTACATCAACGAGTATGATAACCTGATTCAGTTTCGTAGCCCCTGACCACTTGGAATAAACTCCCCTCCCCCAACTGCCCCCAGAATGTCCTTGACAATAGGTCATATTGAAAGCACCCTGAACTATTCGTTCACTGAACCTAAGCGATATTTTTGCGGTAAATTTAATAGTGAATCAAGTCTTCATATGTCCAACACGTGTCCGTATAACATATCATAGTCGGGGATAAGCCCTAGCCGTGGCAACTGGACTGAGTTTCATAATCGAAAGTTAGAAGCAATGTGTTTGCTGAAAGGATTAATTTTTAAAAAAGTCTCTGGTTTAGCAGCTGTAGCTGAACAGTACCTGGTCTCAATACAAAATCCCACACACCATTACCCTAAACAGATATATCTCCTTGGCCTACCTGGGAGTAGAGGAAACAACACTCGCCACATCACTGCTTCGTCCGACCTCCGAGTGTACGACGCACAGTTACAACCCTAACATATATCTTTTTGACCCGAATAATGATTACTTAAAGGGAGATAACCGCTACATATGCTAAAAGTAAGTTTTGTTCTCCCTTAAAGCCCGTTTCAGAGAATAAATGCATGGACGTCAGGTTATGAATTATTTATGACCGTGCGGTTGTTCCCCTTTGTTGATCTAGCCATTCAAGATGTTTTTGAGGAGTGATGACGTGGCAAATTTTAAGCCTTCCTTTGTACTATCACTGGAAGATACCAGCGCTTACAGTCCCAGGTTCTGTTTCAAACACATTTTAATTTTTTTTTAAAAATAAGTAAATAAAATACACAAGAGGAATCTCAGTACACAGGTTTATTTACATACCACAATGACTCACATGGACATTTGACAGGTCATGCACATGCACGCCAAACGCGGGTATTAACAAAATGGCCGCTATTCACAGAGAGCACAACGCGTCCATTCATACAATTCACATCACAAATGCGACACATAGACAGTCGACAATTCACACAGATCACGTGGAAACATCAATGGCTGCTCTTCAAAGAGAGCATGTTGCACCCATTTTGTCAATTCATACCTCAATGCAACACATACAGGCAAGTTCTCTCATCGGAGGCGATGTATAAAAGCACCCAAAGAGAACTCAAAGAGACCACAGCGGTGTACGAAGTTATTATACGTATTGCCATAAACGAGTCACGAGCATTTAAAGTCTGAGCGAACAACCACGTGTGTTGGCACAAAGTTAACACTGTCTCTCCTTACCCTAACAAAGTGGGAAAAGTAGTGAGACTGACTGACACCATGTTTACCTCACAGGCGGCACAATACATTTGCCTGTTGCCCTCAGCTTTTGAGCAAGACTACTCCGCCACTGCTCTCTACAACTTGTCAAGTCACCAAGGGAGGCAACACCCCATAAGCCGGAAACAGGCTGTTGTTGCGTGAACATTTTGTTAACCCAGAAATCTGTACATAAAAGAACTTAGTGTGACACACACCCCCAACCTTTCCCTTGTAAACAAAAAAAGGCGGTATTGGTGTCCCTACAGTGTTACCACATCCTAGTATGGTAGTGGTATTTGACTTGATTTGGTGACAGCATAGGAAATAGCCAGGTTGGATGACACAATGCAGGGTGGGGTGTGCTGCTCCATCAACCCCTTTTCATCTACGTAATTGATGCGATGTGTCTTTCAAGTCGTACTTGTGATGAATTCTTCCAAATTCCTGGAAGTAGTGGCCGACTGTCTCCTTTGACGTAACATTGGCGCTTTTTTTTGTACTTTCAAATCTGGCCAATGCTTGATGAAATTGTAGAACCACTGCATGCAAAATGGCTTGTCTTCTTTGAATCGCTTGCCAAGGTGAATAGCTAATAATAAAAATCAGTGGCAAGAGTGGCTACCTCCATACGTGAATAACCGTATCCAAAATCAGCCATGGCTTGAGCGTGAAATCTCTCTCCTCCTGAATTGTTAGCAGAGGTTCACAGCCGGATTTCAGGTAGCCTACTCTGATTTCTCCACTGGTGCGATCATATTGTCAGTCGGTTGTCATCGTCTCGGTGTTTACGTCATATCTCGTCGAGTATCGCGAGAATAGCATTTCAAAACTGCTGACCGAAATCAGATTATGAACGAAAACACATAACGGGAGGATAAGCTCTTGTCCTGGTCCTAGCAAGGTGCGTATGAAGAAGGCAGGTATGGTTTGGGTTGAAGATAACATCAATTGGACAAACCAGGACTGGGCTCCAGTACTTTTCACTGATGAATCGAGATACTGTCTAAACTTCATAAGTTGTCGCGATCGTGCCCGTGTGTGTGGAGTAGACAAGAAGAAAGATTTCAGGATTCCAACGTAGCCGAACATGACCGCTATGGAGGGGGTCAATCATGATTTTTTATTTATTTATTTATTTATTTATTTATTTATTTATTTGGGGGGGGGGGGGGGGGGGGGGGTCAATAGAGCTGGAATTACCCATCTCCATGGCCTAGATTGGGTCATGAGGACAGGTGTTTGCTACAGGGAGGACATTCCGGATGTGTACGTGAGAACTATGCGGGTGCAATCGGGCCGGACTTCATCCTCTTGAACGATAACGCATGACCTCATTGTGCCAGGGTTATTGATGCCTACCAAGAGCAGGAGACCATTGTCCATGGAGTAGCCAGCCCGGTCACGAGACCTCAACCCTATCGAACACAAGTGGAACGAGATGCAGATCGCCCTCTCACGACGCCATGCCCTTTCGGCGACTCTACAGGAACTCGGCAATGCTCTAACTGAAGAGTGGAACAATCTTCCCTTGGCAACCATCCTTATTGAGAGAATGAGACGACAATGCCAGTCTGTGATCACATATGGGTTACTAAAAGCTGCTTTGTTGGACAATGAATTTGTTTTCGTGATATTTTGACACTTTTTGTCCAACTCCTGTTATACCGGGGCAAGCCCAAGAGCGACTCGTGCCTCTCTCGTGGCCATTTTGTGCGGCTGGATTCAGTCTAAGCGCAAACGGGTATAGTTAAAGGAATTGTCAACTCGGTGCGTAATGATTAAGGTATATATCCCCATGTCATATATATTCCAGATGCTATATATATTAAAAACACATCGGGACTTACAGTATTTACACAGTATGAGTACGGAAAGGGGCGAGTGGTGAGGAATGGGTCAGATACTCTTATTTTCACGGGTGATCTGATTGATTATTGGTCACACGTTGTTGTCTTTGGCCATTTCAACGGATGCGTACAATTTTACATTTTACCTTTTAGAGTGGTAATCCTTAGCAAACCTTGAGTAGTATAGTATTTAAGATTTGTTCCTAAATCTCCTCAACATACTTCTGAATAGTCATCATAAGAGGTTAGTGCACGACCCTATAACCCTCCAGTGACGTCATCCTTTACTTGTTTTCCAATGTGATAATACCCCAGGGGTTATATATATCAAATGACAAATGTCTTCTCTGTGTTACTTGCAACATTCGTATCTGTTGCCTTTTGACTGAACCACTCGGCTACAGACGCGCGTATGCGCCATCAAGATATATTTTACGTCCGTTTCCCAAGGTCCATGGACAGATTGAAAGAAACAGAAAATTGTTGATAACTGATGTTTCAGATTTGTTTTCGGTTTAAAAAAAACACTTCCCATCGGTTTTATGTGCGATTTAAAACTCTCGGTTTCGTGTTCAAAATCTCGGTCGTGTTTTATCCTGCACAATTCATGCACAGAATCTTCATATCTACCAATGTTTTAATCGTAAAATTCAGCTGAGCTTGCAAATAATCGCCAGCAGCTAAAGGGATGATGTAAATCCCGCTGGGATACCATGCATGAAGCAAAAGTACCGTAAGTGCCCATTGTTTTATGCGGTGAGGCTGTTTCGTAGTCTGTGTTCTTTTCTAATTAGTTTTAAATTCAAATCCGTGATGAAACTTGTTATTTCAGTCCTTTGATGGCATGTATTCATGAAAATATAGCTGCATTACTTTGTTTCCCTATATCGGAAATAATGCCGACGTGAAATAAAGCTGACCCGTGAAGATCCGGAGTAGAATAGGTCTTCAGCAGCCCATGCTTGTCGTAAAGGGCGACTAACGGGACCGGGTGGTCAGGCTCGCAAACTTAGTTGATGCATGACATCGTATCTCAGATGGGTGGATCAATCACTGGATTGTCTGGTCCAGACACGATTATTAACAGACCGCCGTTATATACATGTAGCTGGAATATTGCTGAGTGCGACGCTAAACAACAAACAAACAAAACACTCACCAAGCTGGTACCAAAATGAGTTGTGCAAGTACATTTGTCATCTCAGCATTAAAAAATCCCCCATAGAGAGTGTAATCCATACATAAATACTCCCATATTCTGCTAGTTTCATTTCAAGTTTGATATATCTCTGTTTGTCTTCAGTATCACTGGGTATTTTCCGCTATAATGGTAGTCATGTTGAATTCATTTATTGACTTTCCATTTACCTGTGACTGTGTATGTTATTACCTTTGACACTTAACAGGGGTAGATATTACAAGTCAAGCCCTAGAAATATCAGATAAAGTGGTTCCAAAATTGGCCATACACAACGTAAAGCTGTCGCAATTGTGAGACGTATGGATAGTAGGCATTGATAATTCATCTTAAAAGCAACCAAGTTGTAAATATGTAAATATTGTTGCATAACCTTCTAAAGGGTGTCGCATTTAATGTGTGTTTTAACACGGGGCGTCAATTCATCTTGGCTTTTCAGCACACCTGATACTTTGCGTCCTTGAAGATTAGTCCTTTCGTTATTAAACAGCTCCGCTTCTGCCAGACCAGGCGTTGCTTGGATATCTCAGGTAGATCATGTTTAGTTTGATTTCCAATATCCAATAACTGATACTGACTCACAATGAATGTAGTGAGTTATAGTTCCAACTTCAGCACAAATGAAAAGAGATACTTTCAGTTGGAAGCCAGGTTGATTGTCATGTACAGTATACTACGTTTATAACTAACACGCTTATAACGAACTGACGGATATAACGAACTAACTTTTTTGTCCCGACGATTTGCTGTAGTTATTTTGTATATATGCTTTTAACGAACTACGGTTATAACGAACTAAAATTAGTGGTCCCTTTGAGTTCGTTATAACCGTAGTTTACTGTACTTTCTTGGCTACACGTCCGACAAAAGCGAGATGTCGTAGCAGACAAGAGACCGTGTAGAGTTTGATTTAATAATTTACTGCATAGATGGTTTACTGAGGTTCACTTATGAAAGGGCGGTCGGGTAGCTTAGTGGTTAAAGCGTTCGCTCGTCACGCCGAAGACCCGGGTTCCACTCCCGACATGGGTACAATGTGTGTGAAGCCCATTTCTCCTGTCCCCCGCCGTGATATTGCTGGAATATTGCTAAAAGCGGCGAAAAAACATACTCACTCACTCACTCACTCACTCACTTATGAAAACATTTGTGCTTAGTTTTAGAAAAAAAAATTTAAAAGTGCTTTTGTTCAAGGTGTAAGCAG